GCCACTCAGACCTGACCAAGTAAACACAGAGACTTATATTGGTTACAAACTGTATGGCCGTGGCAGGCTTCTTGCTAACTGTTCTTACAGCTTAAATTAATCCATTTCTATAAATCTATACCTTGCCACGTGGCTCGTGGCTTACCAGCATCTTCACATGCTGTTTGTCATCGTGGCAGCTGGCAGTGTCTCTCTGACTCAACCTTCCACTTCCCAGCTTTATTCTCCTCCTTGTCCCGCCTATACTTTCTGCCTAGCCAATGGCCAATCAGTGTTTTATTTATTGACCAATCAGAGCAACATATTTACCATACAGAACATCCCACAGCACTTCACCAAAATAACCCTTGCTTTTCATGACTTTCCAGCATTTATGTGAAGACAGAGATGCAGGAGTAGCTGTGGTGATGACCTGAAAGATTAGCAATGACATCCTACACAGGTAAGGTACCACACTCCTTTACAGTTCACAAAGGTCTGATAGAGAAACTGAATACCTCAAAAAATAAAATATGCTATTACAAGGCCTAGAGCGATGGCTCAGGCTGCTCTTGCAGAGGAGCAGAGTTCAGTTCCTAGCACCTGTATCCGGCAGCTCCCATCCAGCTGTAACTCCTATTCCAGGCGATCTTAGACTTTTTCTGTTTTCTGCAGATGTATACACATATGCACACACATACACATATGCACACACACACACGCACACACACACACGCATACACACACATACACATGCACACACATACACACACACATGCACGCACACATGCACGCACACATGTATGCACACATGCACACACACACATTATAAAAATTGCTAAATAGAGGCAGACAAGTTGTAAAGTGGCAACAAGGAGAGGAAATGAAACCCTCCAGCTTCACTAAAAAAACAATGAATACTAAGCTTAAAGGTACAGAATGTTTTTTCACTGAGGCTCTTTTGAGCCTTTTTGATGTATCTGTTTCATCAGTAGACTTAAACAATCCAACAGGAAAAGAAAAAGAGCAGTGTTCTAGAGCTATCCTGAAAGGAAGGCTCAGAGGACTTTTTTTTTTTTGGTTTTTCAAGACAGGGTTTCTCTGTGTAACAGCCCTGGCTGTCCTGGAACTCAGTTTGTAGACCAGGCTGGCCTCGAACTCAATGAGATCCACCTGCCTTGGCCTCCCAAGTGCTGGGATTAAAGGCGTGCATCACCATCACCTGATTCGGAAGGACATTTACTGGTGTATTTTAACTACGCTTTGACACTTCCCAACAAGGACCTCAAGCAGCATGTCTGCTCTAACACTCCCTCAACAAGCCTCTCTGGGTAAAGAAAAGAGAATTCAAGAGCTGACCTCTTGTACCACTGTCTTGTTCCTTCCATGTTATGGGACATGGCAAACAGTTCAGTAAGAACCTTGTGTCTTTCTCTTGGCTTTCAGGGCGGGAAAGACCAAGTATAGTTCACTAGGCACACAGTGTGAAGAAGGCTTTGCTCAGACATGTCCTAACTAATCAGTTCCTTTCTAGTGTGAAAGTTATTAATACAAAATAAATTCTTTATATCTATTCCTAAGTAAAATGGATCACAGGATGTACACACACACATACACACACACACACGCACACGCACACGCACACCACAGCTTCAATTTGCTACATCGGTCATAAAAAGGCAAACTATCCCACAGGGACAGTAGGGAGTCATATGAAGACAACTAGCCACTTGAGCAAGGATATCCACCTGACAGACATTCTCCACGGCTGAGCCGATGTCACCCCCTAGAGTAAACCCCAAAATCTACATTTTTTTTTGTCTTAAAAACTTCCCTTTCCTTCCATATACACCTGGCAGTGTACCATATTTCACCATAGCACATGCCCTGGATTGCAGCATCCCTGCTATTCCTGAACAAACAAACTCAGCCATTTTTTCTGCTTTTAGGTTGTCAGTGGTGACAAAACAGTTCTGTGTGGAGAAATTATATTTGGTTTTATCTAATTCTCATATAAAGAATGAACAAACGCCTTGTGGAACTAGGGCAGTGGCTCCGTGAGTAACGTGCTTGCCATACAAACAAGGTGGATTTGGATCCCCAGCTCCCCTGGAAAAGCCCGGCACAGCTGCTTCCCAGTGTAACCCCAGCGCTGTGGCAGATTGGAGACAGGCAGGTCCTGGAGCACACTGCCAGCAAGTCTAGGTTCAAAGAAAAAACTATCTAGATGATTAACAGTAATAATAACAACAGCAACAGAGAGCAATGGAGGAAGATGCCTCACATCATCCTCTACTATCCACACATGGTACACACAGGAATAGAACACATACATATACACACACTAAATAAAATTCCTTGTAACTCAGTAACTTTCAGAGTCATCTTCACATTAGAAATAAGGGGTGGAAGTGAGATGATCTTTTAAATATTCTCAAGTCTGTGGTGATATGTAGCACGAATCTTAAAAGGTCTTAATAAAAAACAAACCTGGAGCCAGGTATTAGGGTGAATGCTGGAAGATTAGAGAAGCAGAATAAGTCACAGCTTCCTCGCCTCCCCAATTTCTCAGCTGATCCTGTTTCCTCAGACTGGAAGCCTCTGAGTCCTCATCCAAAATGAATCTCAGCTGAACTGCTGCTCAAAAGTCTAAAAGCTTAACCAACTCTAGTTCCGGGTTTTCACACCTTATATACCTTTCCGCTTTCTGCCATCACTTCCTGGGATTAAAGGCATGAGTCACCATGCCTGCCTGTTTCCAGTGTGGCTTTGAACTCACAGAGATCTGGATAGATCTCTGCCTCCCAAGTGATAGGATTAAAGGTGTGAGTGCCACCATTTTCTGGCCTCTAGGTCTGTCTAGTGACTGTTCTGTTCTCTGACCCCAGATAAAGTTATTAGGGTGCACGCTATATTGGGGAACACAATATCATCACAGTGATATTTTGTCTGTATACCCCAATAAAGCTTATCTGAGGATCAGAGGAAAAAGCCAGCCACTATAGCAAACATAGAAGTCAGGCAGTGGTGGCACACACCTTTAATCCTAGCATTTGGGAGGGAGAGACTCATCCAGATCTCTGTGAGTTTAAGGCCACACTGAGAACAGAGACAGGCGTGGTGGCACATGCCTTAAATTCTAACACCAGTTAACCATAAATGTCTGGAGGTCTGTACAGACAGACAGGAAGTTACAGTGCTGGGTAGAAAGGAAGTGAGATGGCAGGGACAGAAAGGCATATAGGCATGGGTATACAGGAAGTAGGTCTCTTTGGAGGCTGAGGGCTGGTGAGGTGAGGTTGGCTGTGGCTTGTCCTATTCCTCTGATATCTCTGTTTTAACCCCTTTATCTAGCTCCGGGTTTTTGTTTTTGTTTTTTTTTTTTTTGGTTTTTCGAGACAGGGTTTCTCTGTGTAGCTTTGCGCCTTTCCTGGATCTCGCGCTGTAGACCAGGCTGGCCTCCAACTCACAGAGATCCGCCTGCCTCTGCCTCCCGAGTGCTGGGATTAAAGGCGTGCGCCACCACCACCCGGCTAGCTCCGGGTTTTTTATTAATAAGACTGTTTAGCAATTCAACTTACACAAGTCCAGGCCACACTCTAAACTACCAATCACAACATCTTGAAGAGAGTAAGGGAGGGAGATAAAGACACCAGTAGCTTTCAGTACACTAGGTGAGTCCCATCCACATACTTTGGTGGGCATCTCTGTCCTGCTACATTATCCCATACAGAAATGAGTATATTCAAAATGAAGCTCTAAAGACTCTCCTTGCCTAGCTGCAAAGGGAGAAACTAGTTAACCTCACTTGCTTCTCAGGAGCTTTTGATCCCTAAATTTAACATTATATCCTCCCAGTCATTCTGAATGTCACCTATGCTAAAGCAACAGCTTTCAGCAGAACAATAGGGCCTCCCGAAGGGCACAGACGTACTCATTCACCAAGCTGCGCAACACCAACGCAGCTTCCTGTGTTCATACATCTCTGCCCTCTGTGAGAGAGCGCCCATGCCCGAGTTCAGTGCTGGGGCAATAAGCCAGTGATCTCAAAGCCAGCAAACCACATGAGCAATAATTCACATACAAAAGGGAAATGACTATAATGCCCTATGCATCCTTCTCAAGGGGTAATTAAATCAATTCCCTAGTCTGTAATCTACAAACCCCACCAACATTCCCGGGCTCTCATGAAGTATTCACATCCTTCAGGTAGCCTCTCCCAAATGCCTGCTTGACAGTGATCTCCCCACAGGTTAGGGAGCGCACAGTCAAAGGGGTAGGTGTGAGTACATCATCTTCTTATAGATAACATCTGCTGCATGTTACCTATAAATCACCATCTCAGATACAGAGGCACAAAGGTTTTGAAAGCTGGAACATTCATCCAGCCACTGAAAGTAGTAGCTACTGTAATGGTTTATCTTTTGCTGGTTTGGAAGATAGGTTTCTCATGGGGAGACCTGGCCAGCCCAGGAGCTTCTGTGGAAATCTGAGTCACTTCCTCGGCACCTGCCAGCCCCAGTGTCGCTCTGAAACAGCTAAGATCCATGAATTAATCCTGTCTTGAACACTGTAGGGCTTGGCCACTTGTGCTTAAGACAAGTGAATGTAAAAACCATAACGTTCTCTGTAGACAGCACTTTGAAGTCTACTTCATCTGGGTGATGAGTAAATTTTCTGAGAAAATGAATTTTTGTATAAAAGGAAAAATTGTTGGTTCCAGAACAGTTCAGCTGTGTGATAAGCTGCTCTCACGTCTGTTTTGGCATCACACACAGCAAACCTCGTGGGTAAGGTAAAGCATAACAAGACTAACAACAGCTAGCATTCCCTGCAGCAAGGAGAGATGCCTAATTAAACCAGAATGTCAAAGAGCATGTTGTTGGGGCTACTCAGTCAACAAAGTACAACCCAAAGGACCTGAAGAGCATGCCAAGCAAGAGTCCTTGCTGACTAGGAAGGATGTGAACCTGCATTGCTATTTAAGATCCTCCGTCTATGAGAATAAAAGTTTCTTGTGATGACATTAAACTCTGTTTATTTAGTAGTTGAAACATGGTGTACATTTATGAGTTTATATAAACATTTGGTACATCTAAAATCCACAACTGGTAAACAATCTGTGCTTGCTTTTGTGTACAACATTGGCATTTATATCTGGACGTTTTGTTGTGGAGGAGACCCAGCTTCTGAGTCTAATCACATTGCCTCACGGTATCATAACAACTCTGACAGAAGTGATTTGTCCCTTACAAGGACTGCTGCTTCCTAGAAAAGGTGTCACACTTGGAACTAATAAACCAGGCATCAAGGAAACAAGAGAAACACAGCTGAGCTGATAAAGAAAGGACATGCAGGAGATTCCTGGAGATCCGGGTCAATGCACAGCGGTGACACAAGAAGTGTTATATCCACAATGAGCTCTCAGTTCTGAACCTTCAGATGTTCGAGGCTCCTCCCACCCCTGCTGAAAGGGGTGGATCTGGCCAGAGTGGGTTCTCTGCTCGGCACACTTCTGAGGGCCTACAAAAGTCACAGCTGCAGTTCAGATGTGCCAACCAGGCCTAGGGCTCTGGCTTCTTCTGGAGTCAGGCCACTCTTCAAGGTCCTTCGTACTGCAGTGGTCCACACAGGTCACAAACAAAGAAACAAGAAGAGAAGGAGGTATTAGCAAGAGGCAAATGGTACTCAGTGTCTCAATACCCATCTACCTAAGAATTCAGGGGAGCCCAGCGCTACTCTGCTCTTGCTGAATGAAGTACCCTGGAAGAGACCATGGGATGATAGGGTTGCAAGGAGGAGAGGGATATCCTCATAGACTTACTGAAAAATGGGTGCAGACTGTGGAAAGTGTACATGATATGTGGAAAGGTCAATGTCTTCCTAGGATGGAATGTAACAGAGCTGCAAGAGTCATAACATGGGAAACCTGGTTCTAATAATACAAGGGAAAACAAGCAGTACATAGAGAGGGGTCAGCAAACTCCCAGCTGCAAACCTATGGCATGAAATACAAAGTTGGAGATATAAACAACACCTAGGGCCTTGTGCAGCCATGTGTTAGGCAGAGCCCTGGGCAAGGGACAATGGTCAGGCAGAGTCTCTGTGAGTGATGTGGGTCTCAGTCTCAACTTGACAAAGGACCTTTAGGGACAGTGATTGAAATCATTGTTGACCTTTCCTAAATAGATGCCAAGGGGAAAACGATCCAATTTCTGAGAGAATTTGGTAGATGCTTTTTATATCTCATACAAGTTTCAAGAAGTGATGTCCACACCTCGTCACGGGAGCATTGATGGTCACTGGAGGTTGCTCCTATTTCACATGGAATAGGCTCGTGTTTAGCTTGGCAACACATGTTTCCTACTGTCTGACACTGGTCAATTTTGATGTGAAAATAAAGATTGAATAAGGGTGAATGAAGTAGTAACTGCCTCTGCTCAAGAAACGCTGTCGTTTGAAAGGTTCATTATACTTCCCGAAAGTTACAAACTATATTCAGTCCACTCTAGCTGTTTGAAGATTATAAAAGGAGGGGGGGGGCGTATTTATTCTGTTTTTAGAACGTATAGATCTATCTCCTACCCTAATCCCAAACTAACCATTTCCTCAGTTGATCAGAACAGTCTAGTAATCGGTGTAGAAAACAGAAGGCTAACCTCCTGCATCTTTCCATTCCTTATTCCAGACCCACTCAAGTCCCACCCTACTTTCTCCAGAAAGACAGGGCCTCGTTTCAAGGGTCTGTTGGCAGTACCCCTTAATCTATGCCTTCCCCCTCCCCTGGACAAAAGCTCATTTAGCATGTAGCAAAGAATCTGAAAGTTCCAGGCTGTTTTCATCACTGTTCCCTCCACTCTGGGTCACATGGATGTCTAGCACAAGAACAGACATGGTGAGAAACTAGAAAGCCAGGGTTCTCTTCCTGTATGCCAGTTTCCCACTTGGGAGGGCGATTTACTTACTTATTTATTTATTTATTTATTTATTTATTTATTTATTTATTTGTCTATCTATCTATCTACTTATTTTATGTGCATTGGTGTCTGTCTGTCTATCTATCTATCTATCTATCTATCTATCTATCTATCTATCTATCTATTTTATGTGCATTGGTGTTTTGCCATTGGGTCCCCTGGCACGCGGGTCCTCTGGAAGAGCAGTCAGTGCTCTTAACCACCGAGCCATCTCTTCAGCCCCGGGAGGGTGATTTATTATTGTGAAACAAACAGAGCTATTCTGAAGTGGAATGTTTTGGGGTCTTCCTGTAACCACCTCTCTGGCCAAGGCTTCCAGCTGAACCCACGTTTCTTTCCATCATCACAATCTTAGCTTCTGGTCCACCTTTGCCCTCTGAGAAGCAGTAACTGTTCACCTGGGCACACAGCTGAGGTGGGTGCCCTCAGCTGTCTTTAGGAGAGGAGTTAGCCCATGATCTCTAAAAGTTTGACCAAGAAATTCTAGTCCTTTCTTATAACATCTGGTTTTTTTCCCCCAAGAGTAGTAATTTAAAGCCTCAGGCCTAGTGTTAATTTGCTCTATACAAGAACATATAGCTGCCTTAGAATAATGAAAAATAAAATTTTTGCTTAATGAGAGTCATCTCAGGAAAGGAAAGATAAATGAACTGTGTTGTATGCTGGTTATGGTTCAGTGCTGTGTCTAACGTGTTGTGAGACAAGTCTACTTTTCTTTTAAAATAGATTGAAGAGTTTTTATGATACAGTAAAAATAATCTCTAGAGTATTTCACTTATCCGCTAGCATAGTGGTAATCCTCAATATTCTGTAAAAGTAGTAAGACTTTAATTACAGCAACTGCAAAATATATCTCACACCCTGGAAGAAGCAGTAAGGACGTACTCACGGTATGAAGGAATGGGAATTAGGAAGATAATCAGAGACCTGTAATCTTATCCCAGCAGTCCTCAGAATCTTCCCACTGTGCAACCATGACAAACCTGAAGTTGTCAACTAGTTGTAGGGCCTGCCAAAGTGACAGCATCTTTACAACGTGGCTCTGATCCCAAAACTTCATGATCCTGTCACAGAGAGGAGCCAGATCCTATCTGGGAGGGGAACTCCACAGCACAAGGGTAAGCCTCTCTCAATCCTGGAAAGAACTGAGCTCCCTTCAGACAAGAAAAGGCTGACTCTGAGTCCCTGGTTTGTGGCTGTGTTCTTTAATAGGTAGAGTACACAGTAACAGGCATGCAATCAGCACGGAAGTCCCTTTTCACAGATAGGTCCAAGAGAAGAAAGAACAGGAGTGTGGGGATGTGAGGTGGATTCTCCCTAGCTACTACAGCCTATCCTGCATCAATCTGGGAAGAATCCCTCCAACACCATCGAGCTTCTATACAGTCTAAACAAGGTCAATATCCAGGAAGCCTGTGTTCACAATCATCCCTGGGACAATGTATGCAATCCAATATGAAAAAGTGAGAAACCAAAATATAGAAAAACCCAAGTTCTCACAACCCTGTTCATGGGTCAGAATTGCCAAGCCAGCTGTTGAGCCCTGCCTGGAATTTGTGGGAGAGCTGGGGTAGGTGTCTCTTGATGAGATGCTAACTAACAATAGCAGGAAAGCAACAGAATTCACTGCAGGAGCCTGTGGGTTTATTAAAATGCACTTGGCATGTCTGAACTGACTGCAGAGTCTGACACTAGCAGGTAGCGCATGGACAGCAGCCTTGTGTAAGCATCATGTGTGGAATCCATCATTGCCTCTGGGGACCCTCAAGCGACCTTTATAGATCACAGGTCACAGATTTCTAGATTTTAGGATTCTGTTTCATTTCTTGTAGTGGATGGATTCTGTCTATAGTCAAGTGAACTATGTACCCCAGACAGCTTGATCATTCATTCATGCCTATTCACCTTATCACCATTATTAATTAAACACACCACTGTTTCATACTGAGGTTTATCTAAATCACTGAACTTAACATAGATTTTTTTCTAAGTTGTTTCTTGTTTTGTGTTGTTTGTTCTTACTCTTGGAAAGCTTGGTTTTATTCTCTCTTTAAAATGGGAATCAAAATCTAGCATCCTCCACCTTCAATTTCTGTTGACAGTTCCACCCAGTAGAGATAGACACTGACATGCACAGGGCACTGCATATCTTATAGTAACTGTGTCACAAGAAAACTGTGTTTGTCCAGATTAAAGAAAAAAGAGTATATGGCTGCTTTGCATAACACTGAAATAGTAACTATACCACAGCAAATTATGACAACCACCAAAATAGGCATTCTCTGGACAGATTGAAGAGGAAGATTCATTGTTACTGTTATTGTTCTCAGTGACATTATGGGTAGAAAAATCTGGACCATTGATTGGGTCCAATGCAGACAAGCAACTTGTAGAATATCTTCCATCTTCAAGGAATGGAAAGCTAAGCCAATAGCTCATACACTCTCCCTGTTTAAAGTCCCTGGCTCAACGTAGCCTCTCTCTGCCAGGGTACTCCCAGGTCTGGCAGCCTGTCTCCATCTCTAAGCTCACCATTTTGTCTTCTAGCCAAGATATTTGTCTTTTTGTTTGCTCATTTGTATATCATTTTGTGGTACAAAGGGTGAGGTTAGCTCAGGTCTCTGCACATGCTAGGCAAGCGCTCTGCTACTGAGCACATTCCCAAGCTCCCTACAGCCATTCCTACACTGAGGCTGCCCATTCCAGTAAGAGCAGAAGTTATCACATGCAAGACTTCTTCCATTTGGCCTCTAGTTTATCAGAGTGACTGACGGGAGGGTAACCAATGGCAACTACTGAAGATAACTTCCTAAAGACTTAAAAAAGGCCTTCAGAAGTTTCACTTAAAAGTATTTCTTGTTACTATTTTTAAATATAGCAATCTTAAAAATAGTAAAAAAAAATAACACAGAAAAGTTAAATACAAAAAGAAGAGAGCTTTCTAAGAGGCCCATCCTTCTTAGTACCAGTAAATATAAATACCACAAAGAAGTACTATTGCATGGCCTTCACATAGTGTGACACAGGCCTGCAGCACTGGGATTTGGCCTATCATGTTCAACCAGTGTGGATCAACATCACCCCTTTGGAGAGCAGTTTGTCACCTGAGGCTCACAATGCCACTCCTGGTCATACCACCTACCCACCCCCACCTAATGCTGCTTCTCCTCACTATGAATGTGAGTCCCTGCTGGCGTTGTTAAGTGAGGGTCCTGAGTTAGTTGCCCTGAGATAGGACCCATGAATCCCCATCTGTAACGAAGTTCTGCTGAGATGACCATATTGTCTAAGCCTAACCCCGAGGAACATGTCTCTGACCAAGTTCTTAGACATGTGCACCAGCAGATGAGCCAAGAAGTCACAGCCACACTGGAGAAAGAACAAACGAGCAACAAAACTAAATGTAAAGGCCTTCTTTGGGGGCTGAAAGCCACGACCAATTGTATTCTTGAAGATATAAAAATGACAAACAAGTAACGATAGTCTTTCATTAAAACCTGGAGGGAAGCCAGGAATCATGGTGCATGTTTTAACTCAGCACTTGGGAAGCAGAGGCCAAAGGATATCTGTGAATTCAAAGATAGCTTGATCTACATAGTGAGTTCTAGGCCAGCTAGCGTTAACCCCCAGTGTAACGACTCCTCTAGGGGACAGTAACTAAGAAGCCCTGAGATTCTGCAGTCTTTGGTCTGGATGAACAAAGGCACCTAGAATTTTAGATCTTGGTAGAACACTCTAACATACATCCAAGGTTGAGAACCACAGGTCCTGAGCCTTGATACTCAACATGAGTACCAAGGGCCAGCAGCAGCATCTTCACCTAGGAGCTTCTCATAAACCAACTCTTAGCCCATCCACTTTCAGCAAAATTGCATCATTCACCCTGACCTCATGATTCGTTTTTTTTTTTTTTTCCTTTTTGGAAAAGGATTCCCAACAGACACTAAAGTAGAGCATATGAAAAAAGCAAGGTATGATAGACTGAAGAAATTTGTTTTTGCATTCTTTACCCTGGAAAAAGCACAGTAGTGAGAGAAACAGAACTAGAAGGCTAAACATTACATCTCATACCTGAGTCACTCCTGTGTAAATCTCGTGGGCTGGATAAACTGGGGGTATCCTGTACTTGTATTCCTACTAAGTTCTCTGCCAGTGTGGCATGACTCTGCTTTTATCTGGGGACTCCTTTTCCTCTTCACCATCCCTTATTCTCATAGTCAAAGCCAGTGAACACTCAAGCTGTCCCCTGAATGACCCAGCAGCAGGCTGAAGCCTGGGCAATGTGCCTAAAACACTGTGGGCCACAGCAAACGCTGGCAGACGCCAGCGATCCCCAGGGATCGCATTTCTCCACAGAGAGGGGTACCCATGAGAATCAGTGCAGTACAGATGGAAGGGTCAAGAGCAGCAGGTTCAGACTAAAAAGACTGGGATTTAGTTGAAGGCTGTTTTAAAGGAAAAGGGAAATCCTGGTCAGCCCTGAAGAACATGAAATGGTAAGCATTCTGCTTGTTCATCAAATCACTTGCTACCCCTGCTTTGTATTGTTAATCTGCCTGAGACTATGGTAAACCCTGGGAGGAGCCAGGCTTTACCTCACCAGTAGCCTCTGGTGCTGGAAGAAGAGCAGAAATGTAGCCTCTAGCAAAACATTTGCATCAGTACTTGGTAGTAAGCCTTACCTCCACATGTTTGAGACTTTCAGTGACCTCTGAGACCTTGCTAGAGACAGGGTATTCATTGGTAGAGGCTAGAGCGTGTACAGCAAGTACATTTAACAAGTACAGCTGCCCCACCTCCCTCGTTAATAGCAGACACTGATAGGAACTTCCTATTGCTAAAGAATGCAGATGGGCACTCTCAGTCGCCACTGGACACCAATGGGAGCTTCCTTCTGAGTTTCTGACTTTCCAGGTCTTATTAACATGCACTCACAAGATTTGCGGTTGGCCCTGGAACGCTTTCTCTCCCGTGGCACCACTCGCTGACTGGGCACTTGGGTGGCCGATTTGACAATGCGGTCCATGATCTCATCAGCGGCATCATCGGTGACACTGGGTGACTCATCAGTTCCCATATTCCACGAACCAGTGGATCCTGAAAGATGAGACAAGCAGAGAATGCCGTGTGCTCAGACAGAAGAGAAACAAAAGAAGCAGAATGCTACTGTTTGTCTAGTAGCTGACAGCCATCAGAGGTGGATTCCAGCAAAGACCAGCCACAGCTTCAGAGTTAGTGATGCATGGGATGCTGGCCTTTCCCTGCCTGTGTCTGCTATCCTGCCAGTGCTGTGGAAACCTGAACTGGGACATTTATTTGGTATTTCCCTACAATGTAGCTGTGTTCCTGTCTCTTGTTGTTACCTAACTCTCTCCCTCTCTCCTGTGTCAGCCATTGCTACCTGCAGGTCGTATGATTGATTACCTGAGGGCAAATGACCTAAGCCAGACCCTGCATAGCACATCACTGACACCCAGCAAGACACATCCCATAATGCACAGAGAGCCACTGAGGGATTACTGAATCAGCTCTCCATCAATAGCTGAATGTACCTCGTCAATGTCACTCACGGAACTCCCCTCATGGTAAACAGAAACCAGGCAGGTTTGTGATACACTTTATATTGGGATTACCTCTAAAAAACCGAAGGAGGATTGCCCTCTTCAATCAGATACAGGGAGCTTGCCACAGTTTGTCTCTGAAATACCTGTCTGCTCCTTGACAAGAAAGTATGTTTTGTGAAAACTACTTGTTAAGACAGTCCAAATCTCCTTATAGGTAACTGTGTATGGCCAATAGACAAGAAGAAAGCATGGGTTTCCAAACAACATTAGTTAGGAACCAATGGTAATTTAACATCTAGGACCATGGCCTTTGTGGCAGATTAACGTCCTTGTGAAAACTCTGGATGATGAGGAGCTTCTTCAAAAGGAAAGATACAGGGGTATCCCAAACTGTTCATCTCTATACCTCAAGCTTCATTTTGTAATAGACGTACAGTTTCACAAGCCTACAGGTTAGAGTCCTCAAATTCATAGCCACTGGTAGCCAGTCTGACTAAGTCTAAGCTAAAACCAAAGAAATGCCGCTTGCCCAATTCTGAGGGAGGGTAAATGCTTTTTGAAATGTTTTTAAAATGAACACTAATGTGTTGATAAATATGTTATTTACTTCTTCTTTTATACTGTTATGTTTAAAATTTTGAGGCTTGTAAGCACCTAGCTATTAATGATCTAGAATTTGATGGAACTATCTGGGAACAGTGGATCACTGTTTAAGAGTCTATGATATTTTGGGGCACATGTTGGGCATATACACTCTGCTTGTGTTTTAGACATGTGGGTGAATCATTCTTTCACTAAGCACTTGAATCTCTTACTCCTTGTTCTGCTTTTCTCAATGTCCTCCCCTTTGCATATTTTCAAATCAATTGTCTTTGAATTCAAGAATTTTATCCTTCAGACAAAAATCTGCCATTAAACCTGGCATTTTATTCTATGGCTTCATGAAGTCCATTTGACCCTTATAAATTCTAGTTATGTGTAAAATCATCCACTTTTATTTAACCTACTTGTGTACGTTTTCATTTTGTTTTTTAAAACAGCGCTTGCAATGGTCATTTCAAGTCCTTGGGTACACATTTCAGTAGGATGGTGACTCAGGATTATGCCACTAATGTCTGCTTTCTCTGCTGATTATCAGTCATGTTTTCATGTTCTTTCTTAGCTTATAATGTTTGTGTATAAAAGAATGCAGAGGGCCAGTGAGATGGCTCAGCAGGTAAGGAAGGGCACGTGCTGCCAAGTTGATGATCTGTGTTCCTTTCCTCAAGTCCACATAGTAGAAAGAGAGAGGAACTCCGACAACTTGTCCTCTGACTTCCACATGTCCGCTGTGACACATTCCATAAGCACACAAAATGAAATTTAAAACTATAAGGAGAATGCCGAGACTGGCGGTAGGTTGATTTTCCTACAGAATCTTCTCCCTTTCCTCTGTTAACAGACTGGAATGTCTTGATCTACTTGGACCAGGTAACAGTTTTAATTAAGAAGTCAGTCCCGGGGGCTTTGGAGATAGCTCTGTCGGTCAAGTGTCTATTGCACAAGCATGGGGCCTGAGTTTGGAACCCCAGCACCATGTGAAAGCAGATCCGAGCAGCTTGTATCTGTAACTGTAGCCCTGGTGTGGGGCAGAAATGAGCAGATTCCTGAAGCTTGCTGGCCAAACAATCTAACCAGTCCCAGAGAGTTAGTCTCAGCTCCCGCAGAATTCTTGTACATGTAGTGCCATTTCTTTTTACAGTTCTGTAATGCCTTTTATTTATTTTTTTTAAAGATTTATTTATCTATTTATTATGTGTACAGCATATGTGACTGCAGGCCAGAAGAGGGCACCAGATCTCATTACAGGTGGTTGTGAGCCACCATGTGGTTGCTGGGAATTGAACTCAGGACCTCTGGAAGAGCAGCCAGTGCTCTTAACCTCTGAGCCATCTCTCCAGCCACCTGTAATGCCTTTTAAATGGCTTTTTAAACTCACTTTATTTTTTTTATTTTTTTGTCTTAACTCCGGGACTGGTGACTTGTGACTCTCTGGTACATGACACTTAGAAGTCTCTCTTTAGATGAGTAGTATATAGAGAAACTCAACAACCTCCCTTCCTGTGGTGGTTTAAATAAGATTGGCCCTCATAAGCTCATAGATTTGCATCTTTGTCTCCAGTTGGTGAACTGTTTAGAAGACGTGGCCTCATTGGAGGAGGTGTGGCCACACCTTGTTGGAGGACATGTGTCCCTGGCTTTTTTTGTTTGTTTGTTTGTTTGAGGTTTCAAAGGCCCACCATAGGCCCAGCCTCTCCCCCTCTCCTTGTCCCTCCTCTGCCTGCTACCTTTGGATCAGGGTGTAAAGCTCTCAGCTGCTGCTCCAGCAGCATGCCTGTCTGCTTCTCAGCACGACGATCCCAGGCCAACCCTCTGAAAACCGGAAGCCAGCCCCCAATTAAACACTTGCTCTTCTTAGAGTCACTTTAGTCCCTGTGTCTCTTCACAGCAATAGAACAGCAGTGAAGGCGCTTCCGAAGGTCCTTCGGCAGGGAATGGAAAGGGACCCACACGGTGCAAACGTGGCCTGGGTTTTTGTCTTGGTCCCGTCTAGTCTGGAATAGATGTCCAGTTGCTTTTAAAAGTTGAGCAGTGTAGACCACTGAAATGGTTCCAAGGGTAGAAGAGCTCCCCAGAGAAGCACGGCGAGCTGGGTTCAGTCCTAGGGCCCACAGATAGGTGGGAAGATAAATCCCACTCCACATGCACACAGTAATGTGCCCTCTCATCATACACTCATAAATGCACAGGCGCGCGCGCGCGCGCGCACACACACACACACTAATAGTAAATATATTTGAAAAGCCTCAATGCTAGAGTCCCCCTCCTAAGATGGCTTCCATCGGACCATCTTTACCTCCAGCCAGTACAGCCTTCTCTAGGAGGATGCATGGCTAAGTCAGCACTGAGAGTACTGGGGACTTGATGGCTCTTCACATACACTCTCTGGACACAGTAACCTACACACTGCAATGGAGACCACCTTTATGGGGTGGCCTACCTGAGAAGACAAGCCCCACCCACCGGAACTTACCCCGGCTTGCCCGGCTGCGAGTGCGGACACCGAGCACAGGGGTGACATCCTCCACAGCAGGAGATGACGTTTTCAACACAGCCTTCATGTTCTCATGTTCAGCTGCATCCTCAGCATAGCTCAGACCCTGTGGCTGGCTCGGTGTTGCTGGAGAACTGCCAGAGAACTTGCCAGACTGCAAAACCAAAGGGATGTTAGGTTGTGAGGGACACTGGCCAAAGAGGCCGTTAAGCTTTGTTCTGTGGGAAACATTCTCTCCTCTGGTTCCTCTTTGTTTGTGTGTACTCAGTATATTCTAGAGTTCTGTCAGTCACAGACAATGCCAACACATGGCAAATATCTCTCTACAGGAAGGTCTAACACCAGAATGAGAAGCAACTGACCCCAGAAGGAACTTCACCCATCCATCCTGGAAAGAGCTAAACATCAAACAAAACACTGATAAGACCTGACATTTGACTTGCCCATCAAATGTCTTGAGCTTTGTGTTCTAAACAAATGCTGAGGATTCTTGTAGATCTAACCTCATCTCACTTTTAGGGAAAAAGAAACTGAAACTCTCTGAGAATAAGTGGCTTTGCCAATGGTTGAGTGTCAGGTCACAGAACAGAACATGCAGGGTAAATTCAAGCTGAAACGGAATTCAGCAATACTACTTTCAGTTTGGTCAAAAATGTAGATGCTTGCTGTCACACGCATTAAAAACACAGGCTGATTTTCTCAAAAATGCACGGCATATATGTTTTCAAGAGGCGTTCTAGAACTCTCTATCGAGTTCTATATGCACACAATGCTTCCATCTGAATGAAGAGCAAGATGATGAACATGGACCAAACTTGGCTCCAAGTTTTTGCTTCTCAGCCACTGGGACAGACCTGGGACAAATCTGTGACTTACACTGTCTATGCTTCTCCTTCTTCAGTCCCTAGGATCAACCATCACTGCCCCCATTTCTTCCTGACTCTAGGATGCTCTATAGATTTACTCTGGTTTGTGTTTGTTTTTAATGCTATGGATCAAACCCAGAACCTTGTACATGCACAGCAAGTGCTGGACCACTGAGCTCCATGCCCAGCCTCGTTCTACTATGCTTTGATCTTCATGTTGTTTTGTTTGATAAAAGTTCTTATTATGTTACTTAGTCTGCTCTGAAACCCACAATTCTCCTGCCTCAGCCTCTCAAGTGTTGGGGTTACAGACATGTACCACTGTGCTCAGCACATACACAGCTGAGCTAGAACCCAGTTCTCATGCTTGGGTTATAAAAATCACAGAAAGGGGCTGGAAGGGAGTCTTTGTCCAGTTTTCCAGCCTCAGGGAAAAGACCCACTGAACCTGCTCTTAGTGACAGGGTACTGATTAGTTCTGGCTCAGAGACACTGGAAAATGCAGTTAACTGCTCACTCTCCGGCACAAACAGCATGACAAGAACTGATCAGATGGTTAGTGATGACAAGACAACCAATCAGAAAATGTCCATGCACAGTTTCAAGTGCTAAATGGTGCTGACACTTCATGCTGACTATGTTAGGATGCTCTACAGCACACAGGAGAAGGGCAAATAGGGTATTTCTTCCCATTCGTCAATTGTCATACCTCAATGTCATCCTCGTCATCAGTCTACCCGAAAGGACAGGACAGGACAAGATGGAAAAGACAGAAGGATTCTTAGAAGGCACAGAAATCGGCAAAGATGAGATCATCTCAACAACAGATCACATTCCAAAGACAGAAAGCAATCACTATCAGCAGGGCACACTGTCTTCAGTCAGAAGGTGCCAGGCTCTCTCCCCTGTTCTTACTGGGTGCTTGTTCTTTGTGCTGAAAGATCACACTGAGAGGAGGCAGGAAGTACTTGAAGGAAGGGCTTCAGGCTAACCTCCTGAGGACACCCATGAGGTCAGTAATTGGCTTCCCTGATCACTACAAACCTTATCTTCTACCCCATCCAGGCTTTGTCTGCCGGACCCACCACCACCTACTGGCTTTCCAGGCTTCAGTAAGTGAACCAGCCTTCATTTACCTGGCTGTGCCCATCAGCAACCTTTTCCTTTTATCACAATTTCTGGACTCTTCCCTGGCTAGCCTGCAGGGCCCAGACTACAGTGTACCCTTCTATACACAGGCCACACAGGCCACATGAATGTTCCCAAGCACAACATACCCTACTACACTCTCCTCAGACACACGAAATTAAGCTCTTTGTAGAATTTTACCAGTCCTCAAGGTAGCCACCAGAAGTGGCACTGCACTCACAATTACTTTATCAGTAGATGGTGCTTTGAAGATCCCTTTTCTAAATACAAAGTGAGTATGAAAAATTATGCCAATATCTTCATTTAAATTCCCCATACTTTTTAAGTCTTTCCACAGAGGCTAGAGGCCAGGCCAACGAACCAGGCATGACGTTTTGAGAACTGACTGTACACTTGGAATGTAAGATAACAAGGTGCTCCACTCAAATGGCAAGAGAGACCAGTTCTCTCTACCATCCTTCTTGTTGAGTGGATTATCAGTTCAGGCAGAATGACTGGCTTTTTTTTCACCAGGCATATGCAGATGTGTAAGATGCTATGTTTTAAATCTCCAGCCTTCTCAAGCACTCAAAGTGCCATCAGTCCCTTTCTATAGAAGAGGAAGTCAGGGTTGAAAGGTGAAAGGTCTCACCCTAGGGTCCCTCTTCCCTCTGCAATGGAGTCCTGTGACTTGACCATTTGGCTTATGATGGTTGTTGGGGGCACAGCATAAAGATCCTTGCACCCACAGAACTCCAGAGAAACCAGGAATATTAAGCACGCAGGACTGTCTTTCCAATGGGAAGGATAAAACAAAACAAAACAAAAACAAAAACAAAAACAAAACAAACAAACAAAAAAAAAACCCCTGTTCTTCCATCTAGAAAGCTGAGAATTGGAAGTGATTAGTAGCCCAGTGATCTGTGTTATCTGTTAGACCAGGCCATATTAAGCTCCTACAACCAGGTCTAGAGTTGGCTAGGAATCTAAATGACCCTTACAGCCAGGGCTCCCCAAGCTCCCACAAACAGGGCCAGAGATGCATACTAGTCTAAATGATCCCCATGTTATCTGTTTCACAGAGGCTCTCCCAAGGGTGGCTAGTATCCCAAATGACCTGTACCCTATCTGCATGCCCAAGACCAGGCCAGAACCTTCCTATGGCCGTTAAACCAGCAAAGGTAGCCTATCTCTAGAACCCATCTTCTTGGAGGAAATGACATGCACCCTGAGTCATGTTTCAATGTAATTACACTTCCCTGTGAACTGAAGATTATATTACACCAGGAAACTTTTTTCCGAATTATATCGTGCTTAAATGTGTTGGGAATAAACTGCCTGATGTCAGACGTCCTGAAGTCTTGATCCAGGTTGACAACGTCAGTGTACACTGAGCTTTCATTTTCATCTCTTAGCAGTTGGCTTCCCTGCCTGGACAACTGCAGGGTGCCCCTCTGATGGTCACCGCTGATCTAGAACCAGGTTAGGACAGGAAGATGACAAATGAGGCCCACGCTGAGCCATTTATGGAAGGACCCATGGGTTGTGGGGCAGGGGCCCATTACATGCTCAGCAGGCAGGAAGGCAGAGGAAGCTCAGCCTCACAGACCAGGGAAGGCAGTCTCCAGAGCTCCTCCAGAACTCCCATTGTAAGCGGCCACCTCACCATCCTATTTATTTTGTAAAAGCTGACTCTCTCAAAATTCTCTAAAATGTTCAAGGCTCCACAGCTCTGCATCCACGATGTGGCTTTGTTTTCAGCTGTGTGTAGGTCATTTTTTAAATCAGATTATGTCATCCCTGGGGATGACCTTGCCTCTCACTGTACTCACATCAGCCCAGGCATCTCAGAGTTGGGCAAATCTGAGACTGCTTGGCCTGAGTAACAATATTCTAATATTCCAGAAGGTGGCAGGCTTTCCACACAAATACTACCTTGACCTCTATTAATATGGCCTAGGTAGAAAGTTAACTTTGAAGAAAATGTACTGTCCAGATTTTAATAGAAATTTAAATACTTTTGAATCACACTCTAGATACTTCTACCTCTCTGAGGGCCAAATGTTCTCGAAGAAGGGACAAATTTAAAACTTAGTAGGATCTGTTAAAAAAATTCTCAGGAATTTGGCAAGAAATTTTAATGTGTTTTCCTAACTATAAGCACATTGGACTTGTGTTGTTTGCCTTACAATATGTCTAATTTCCACAAAAATAAATGATCCCTTTTTAAGACTTTTAAAAATAACACATTGGAATGAAATGTAGGTCATAGTTTGCCCAAGTGGGTCCAATTTGCTTTCTGAATACCCAGGAAAACTAAAGCTCCAAGAGAACCAGATTTTAGGAGAGAGAAGGACCTGGCTGAGGGCACTAACAGTCATAGCTGTGAAGAGCTGCAGAATGGGCTCCTTCAGGGAGAAAGTGGTCTGCTGTTCCTTAGAATCACCAAAAGTCCAAGGAAGAAGGTTTGGGTAGAGGTGAGTGATAGGGGGACTGGTCATCTATGGCTCTTCTTAGAATTGCCTTTTAAGTACAAAGCATCTTGTAGTCAGTGCACAGGAAGTTGGAGGCCTCAGGAATGCTTACTCTTAGCAGTAACCACATTCCCTGTTTTGCCTGCACCATGAACACTCCCCTGGCCACAGATGGCAGCCTCCATAAGGTCTTAATTGACTTCTTTCTTCTGCAGAGACATCTGCCTGACTTGAGTCCAGCTGTGGCTTAAACCCTGGAGTGATGGCAGTCCTAATGACTTAACCCTTTCCTCCTTCCATTCCCCTTCTTGGGAAGCCCAGGGAGGCCAAGTACTTGCACCAGTGGGAAAAGTTCATGGGCACTAATTCAAACAATGAAAAACATCACGTTGAGGAGATCTTCAGTAGGTTCCAAACATGGCCTAACAGTCCCAACTCCCTATTCCCTCCAAGCCTATTCAAATACGGGTAAGTGGTGAAGAAAGAAAGGAGGGTTCCCTGAAAAGGAGAATTCCAAGAAAATGGCTTCATTTTTTCTAAAACAAAATTTATAGCTTACTGGTGATATACCCATCTGACTTGCATGTTTAACAAAGGCACGTCAGAAAGGGACCATGCACCGGGTACCTTTGTCAGTCTGTAGCACTTCTTGCATCCTTTCAGCTCCACTCATGGAACATGTCCCATCTATACAACATCTGTAGCTAGCCTTTTCTACTTCAAAATCCTTTCACTGGCCGTGCGGTATGTTCCTTAGTCATAGGCAGGCTCCGGGTTGAGGTGGGAAATAAAGAGCCAGCAACAGGAGAGAAAAGTGTCGAGGACAATTCCAGGTGCTATGGAGAAACTCCCGCTAGACTTAATGTCCTCTGGGATATCTTCCAACCCTAGCATTCTATGACTCTAATCATGTGACCACAAGATTGTGTCTTAGAGCCATAACATCAGTTTGTCAATTCACATTCTCAAACTGACTGATACATGACATGAAAATCCTGAATTAGTGTCAGATAAATACATCTGCCTTTCTATGCTCGGTGGCATTACCTGATACGTGCTGCTTCCCCCATTTCATCAAATGTCAATTGTCATCAGTATCAAATAACACCAACATGGCTACAATACACACTCCCCCTCCAGCACCCAATCTTAATTTTCACTGCCCTGGCACTCCTGTGTTACATGGCAGACTTTTCACAGACATGGTAGAAGAGCAATTTGAGAGCACTTTGTCCACAATCAGGAAGAAGAAAATGACACATCCCTCCCAAACTGGGGAGCTACTTATGGTTTATCTTACTTTCCAAAGCCACGACATGAAGCAACTGCGTTCATGAAACTTACGTCGGTGATCATCTTCCCACGTGTCTTGTTTCTCTCTCTGTGGCTGGCCCGCTTCTGCTTCTGCTGCAGAACCCTTTCCCTGGTCGTGCGGTACTCGAGTGCAAATTCGCTGATGATCCTGCAGAACTTGTTGATGTTCACCTCTCGGATTGCGTAAGGGGGGTGCCCCATAAAGAGCAAAAAGGAGTGAAATCTGCAGACAAAACCAAAAACCAGTGATGGCAAAGACTTCACTTTGAAGGAACGAAAATTACTTGTGCAAAAATTTTCTATAAGAAATGACTAGGTCCAGCTTCCTGTGAGAGATCGCTGTTCGTTCCTGGACTGCTGATGTCGAACAAAAACCAAAGTCAAGGTCATTTCCCACTCTCATTTGAATGGCAAGTCTAGGTGGTTCCTTTCTTATTTACATTTGTAAACGGACCTGTCAAGCTTTCCAGAAAAATGACCATGTTGTAGCTTAAGGAAAACAGGTACAATTTCTAGTTATGTAAGAACTGAATGGGAACAGAGAAGTGTTTTGAAATCCCTTAAGTAGTTCTTGGAGTAACGGTGAATGTGTGCAGATAATATATTTTAAAAAAAGGTTCTAAATAAATGCTTACAAAGCTTTCCTAAGAATTTTGAAATATTTTTCTGGTAATATTATATATGCAATCTAATTTAAGTAGGATATGCCAAATAAGTTTCATAAAAATTTATTTCAGCTACTATGTTTATAAATTAAAAGTTATTAAGCTGAACACGGTAACTCCCGCTTGCAGAGGCAGCAGGACTGTACGAGTGAGGCAAGCCTGGTCTACACAGTGAAACCCTATCACAAACAAAGTTATTAGCGTCTATTTGTTTTGTAAGGCACACAATTTTTAGGTTCCTGGAAGTAAGAAATCAGACAGTGAAAAACGGAGAGGAATCTTTTGGAGAAACAGAGTGCTACTTAAACGACACCCTTGTCTGTAGACAAAGTCTCTTGGCTCCCATCGTTCTAACCTGTACAGTTCGAATATGGATGGGATCTGGTTTTTAATGAAGGATACTTCGCTTCCCTTTTGTAAAACATAACAGATTAAAACATGTAAATTGCTTTTTAAAGTCAAGAGGGCTGAAAAATGCTAAACAACAAAAAAAAAACAAACAAACCAAGAAAGCCCTCAGAAGAAAACAAAATATAAAATCCATGACTTTGGATTAGATATATTTTTAGATAATGATACCCAAAGCATAAGCAACCAGTAGAAAACATGAACTGAACTTCACCATAATGAAAGCCTTGTGTGTTCCAGAGGACACCAACAGTGAAAGCACAACTTTCAGAATGGGAGAAAAAATATCGGCAAATCACACACAGGGTGAGGCACTCCTGCCCAGCATAGACCAAGACCCAGCAGATCTCACAACTCAAGCCTGAGAAACAGAAAGACAGATGAAGAATTTGAACAGACATTTCTCATCTTATAAAAAGATGTACACATAGCCAAGAAGTTCATAAAAATATTTTCAAATCATTAGTCCACAGGGAAATGAAGATCAAAACGGCAAATGACACACTACTTCACCTCCACTGAGATGGCTATCTCAAAAAGACCATCAAGCATTGGCAAGGACTTGGAGAAATTGCAATTCTCTTTCAGCAGTGTTGGGAACAAAAAATGGGTCAACTGCTATGGACAGCCCGTGACAGAGCTCCTCAGAAAGTTAAACAGACATTTCCCATATGGCCTAGCACTTTTCTTCATGGGCATACACTCAGACAAGAAAATGTGTGTACCTACAAAAACCTCTACACAAATGTTCATGGCAGTATCATTCTTAACAGCCAGAAAGTAAGAAACCAGTGTTCACCTACAGATGAATGCATAGACCACATACATATGCACACAACCACTACATGGCCAGCCCCACTCCCTGCCTACTGTCGTGACCCCAGCTACTGTGGGCTCCTGGTTAGCATTATTCAAGATGAAATAAGACCCTCTGTAGTATGTAGAAAACCCTAAAGGGACACAGAGGCCAAAGAGCTGAGAGTCTACAGGGCTTATGTCAGAGGAAGGAAGGAAGAAATCCTGCTCTACAGGGAAGAGCCATAGGACTGACAAGGCATCCAGTACCAGCCATTTGCTATGCTCAGAACATTTTGCCCACATACAGGTACATGGATGATGATGATGACGATGATGATGATGATGATGATGATGATGATGGAAATATTCTCCATCCCACAGATCTCTGACAAAGTGTCACTTCCAGTGAGCCTTCCCAGACCATCCTATGTAAACAGCACCTTCTTGTTACTACTGACCCAGTATGACTCCAGCCTGAGCTTCCTGGCTCTTACTGCCAAACGACATTATTTATCAGATGTAAAATAGATGTTATGAGGATAGGGTGGTGTATTATTCTACATATACTGCCTTACCTCACTATACAAGATCTATGCATATACAGAATCAATTCAGGGACCCATTATCCACAGATAGAAACTGTACTTTGTCTTGTTTGTTACATGACCTTTCTGACTCCTCTTTTTTTTTTTCTGAGACAGTGTCTCTCTGTGTAGTTTTGTTTCTCCGTGTAGTTTTGGTTCCTGTCCTGGATCTCGCTCTGTAGACCAGGCTGGCCTCGAACTCACAGAGATCTGCCTGGCTCTGCCTCCTGAGTGCTGGGATTAAAGGTGTGCACCACCACTGCTCAGCTCTGACTCCTCTTTTTTATAGAAGTACAGCTCAGAATACCTCATTCTCTACCATCAGCATACTGTGTTGGACTCAAGGACATCAGAACCTAACATATAAACTGAAAATATGATTTAAGTCTATATGTTACAAACTGGCACATAGACTTCACACCTGAGAAAATATTCAGATGTACATTTGGAAGAAAGACTCTATGCATTTGTACAGAAAGACAAAGAATATGACTCAGAAGAAGCAAACTGTTTAAGAGATTAACTGACTGTAGCCTTTAGATTACAGACAGGTCTCATGGCTGTGGAGGGCTAGACTAGCTCTCTCAGTAGTAGTGGAAGGCCCAAGCCAAGAATCTTCAGTTTTTTCCCATTACCAGCCTTTTAATCAGGTGTGCTGTTTACTGAGGTGATGAGCTCCATCAGGAGGAATAGACTTCAGGTCATGGGATGCCAGTTTGGGTGTTTACCTGTCTCCCTGTGCCTCACATGACAACCCCTGGCTGTAGTTCACAAGGGTCCCTCCCTACCTCACCACTGCTTTCTCTCATGTGCCTCTCACAGTAACTGATGAATCCATAAGAATGAGTGAGTTCACACATGGTCCACAGAGCGAGTCAGGCTGTTAGGGCAGCAGGATAAAATGAAAGGCAGATGTGCGGGTACCAGCGACCAAAACAAGATTTTCTGTGAAGGTCAGAGGTTTTAAAAGCCAAATATTGCCTGGAGCAACAGTTGCAAAATCATATACAACTTTCTGATCTGAAGCTTTATATGTAGGCATTGATTACAAGGTATAATTTAAGGTTCTTCTTTTTTCTCTACTTCCCAATATGTGGGTGAAAGACTACCCTAGTAGACCTGGGCTATACTTCTGGGCAGTGTTTAAGGATGTGAAGCAAAAGCAATAAGGCTCAGTTCTAGTTCACCCAGTTTAGCAATGGATTCCTGCTCTAATCAGTTCTAGAACCCAGGCTCCTACAAGACTTCATTTGAACCCAGAGTTCTAAAGTTTGGGCATTTACCCTGGACACTACCTTGTACACAACCATGGACCTTTCAGTACCAACCACAGCTATGATGAATTTCTAATCCATCCTGGTTATCCCCAGTGGGATGGCAAACAGTAAAAATCTATGAACTTGGATCAGACAGGAGCAACCAACTTCCATATCATCAGCTTGGAAGGATTGATTAGACCTAAGACGTAGTAAGGAATAGCTTTGTCAACAGTTTTTAATCTATCTTGGATAAAATGGTTAATAAAAGCAGGCACAACAGCTTTATAAGACCTTCATAAATTTGCTTAAGTTTTACAACATTCCAAATGGAAATTGTTTATTTTCATATTTTTTTAAAGTTGGTATTCACTTGCATAGTAAAAAGAATAAATGGTCAAACCAGCCTGCATCCTCTGTTTCCCCTTTTATAACCCTATCAAAAGCATAGTGTAATTTGAGCAAGAAATTTTATAAAATATCTTATAAAATTCTCATACACAAAAGCAATATAATGTAATTGAAATGTAGATGTCGTTTGATGAAGTGTAGTTAGGGGGTTGATAGTTAAGCAGCTTCATTCCAAAAGTCCTGATTAATGGGTAGCCATCAATCTAGAAATAATAGGTTTTTTTTTTCAAAATTGCCATCTTGCCCAGTACTTTATATCCTCCTCTCCCACCTGTCCTCACAAATTGCCATCAAAGCCAAAAAAGAGGGGCTGGGGGGATCACTCAGTAAAGTACTTGCTATGCAGCCTTCAGTGGGTGCAGAGTCCCGGCACCCACACAAAAGGTTGGGCATGGTAATGTGTGGTTGTACTGCCAGCACCGGGGCAACAGACACAGGAGGATCTCTGAGGCTTCCTGGCCAGTTCATCAAGTTCATTCAGTGAGCCCTGGGTTCAGTGAGAGACTCTGGGAAGACGTCTGATGTTGACCTCTGGCTTCCACATGAACACATATGCACATGCGGACACACACTAACACTATGTGTATGTATTACACAAAGCCCGAGAAAGCATGTTCGTCAAAACAGGAAATGATACAAGAAGGGGTGGGCTGTGGGGAGATGGAAGCATCAGGTTTAGAAAGTCCTAAATGGACTTAAGAATGATAGGAGGAGGAGTTGAATAAAGAAGAAGAAGAGAGGGATGGAGATGCTCCTACATCCATATGCCATGATGAAGATCAAAAGAAGGTGGTAGCTCATGAAAGAGTGAGCCATCCTTCCATGGAAGGTTGGAAGATCAGGACTCTAGGCCTGATTTAAGAGGAAGTCGCACAGACAGGCACAGAGCCATACTCGACCGATTAGAACTGTGCCAGCCTCCATGGAGCTAAAGCATGACTCTAGAGTCCTCCTGGATCCCGTGACTCAGAGGAAGGCTGCTGCAGAGGAGAGGCCCTGGGGTACGGTCCACCCTCACTCAGGTATACGTGCTGGAGAATAGCTGGAGAGCACACCACCAGAGGGTCTTCAGGGGCTGAGTGTAGACCAGATACAAGAGACAACTTTTCTAAGACGGAGAGCAGCCTCACAGGCGAGTAGGCTCTTTGTTGGTGACATGACTCCAGCAGCTACGGAGAAGTAGCCAAAGATCTTACAAAAGCAATTCCTGAATCATGGGGGATCTTTTTCATTATCCCCAGCGTTCCTTCTAATTAAGATTCAATGGCATGGTTTTGCATACATAGATATGAAGACTTTAGTACCTTAGGAATACCTTCTATGTACCTAGAATGCACAGTAACATTTTTGTAAATTTAACCTTCTGATCCTTGTGTATAAAATACCTTCAGTTTTCTGTAAGCTCTTCAATACACATACCTGTTAATTATCCTCCGATGGACAATCTTTAAAATTATAATTCGCTCTGCACAGTCTTTTAGGAACTCTGACATCCGCTGCTTTAAAACTGGTTTCATTTCATGTTTTGCAATTGCCTTGAGGTGATCCCAGGAAGCTTTGCATCTTCTCTCCATCTGACATAAATTATCCTGAAGTTGATCAAAGTCAACCTGAAAATCAGGGGGAGAGAGAACACAGCAGATCCATGAAACAACTGGGCAGCAGCCTGAGCTGGGAGCCCAGAGTGTCCGTGGGAGGAAACAAGAACCAAAACCAAACCTATATATTGAAATACAAACATATTTATGGCCTAAAAAAATGATTCTCATGTGTATTTTTCATTATCTCCACATCAATTTATTCAGTGATAAAACTGTTCTCCAAGTGAACCCAATACAGAAGTCACCTTTTCTTGCCTTGTTTGGGAAGAAATGTTCTGAGACTCTTTGGGAACTGTAAATTCAAACATGAAATGAAGGAACCTAGTACAAGATGAGCTGAGGAGAAGCCTCATAAACCTTTTCAGGGTCCTCTTGTTCTTCGGGGCTAATATTTTACTAAAGAACTTCCCCCCAGTCACAGATGGCTCTGCTCTGCTCAGCCAGCAATGGACAGTTGACTTCTCTTCACCACAATTCACCATTTATGTGAAAAAAAAGATTGGATTCATCCATCATTCATATATTCATCCAGCACTAATGCACAACACTTCCTGTATCAGGCACTAAATACACAGAGATTCCCATATGGCATGATAAGTACACAGAGACAAGTGCCCGAGGCAACTAAATTCTGTCATCAAGTAACCTCATCTTATAGACACAGCTCTGAGGGGTCTACAGTACCCTCAAGGCTGTGTGTGTGTGTGTGTGTGTGTGTGTGTGTGTGCGTGTGTGTGTGTGTGCGTGTGTGTGTGCGTGTGTGTGTGTGCAGGTGGAGAGGCATGAGACCCTGAGAGTTAATGCAAGCTATGCATGCAGACACTTGAGACAGAGCACCAACAAGTATTCTGGGAAGTGCAGAGTTTGGAAGGACAGGTAGCGCCATCTGAGGCTTTCTAAGGTAGTGCAGAGGGTTAGTTAGGCCAGACAACACACACTGGAGCACCAGATTTGGTAGACGGAGACGAGGGGTGGAAAGCCACTGGAAAGGACAGGAGAAGAACTAGACAAGCAGGTGGGGCTGGGTGTATGCAGGGACCGAGGGTGACAATGGCGAGCAGCAGTGGGAGGGGGTGAAAGTGAGACAGAAGTCTGAAGGAGCAGATCCAGGAGGTGAGCTGCCACTCAAGCCAGGGATGGCAGCAGGTCTGAGAGGGGAAGACCCAGACAGGATTGGCAGGAATGACCTTGTGCTTTCAGCCCCACCCTCAGAAGACAAGGGAAGGGAATCATGCTGTGGAATATTATTTTAGCTGGGCAAAGGTGTGTTGCATTTGTTTATGCTGAAGACTATTAATTGAGCTGTGTAAAGGTGTATTACATTTGTTTGTGCTGCCTGTGTTTAATTAGGTAGAGATGTGTTGCATTTGTTTCACCTTGCTGGCCTAAGGCACCTGATTAGGCTAACAAAAAGCTGAGCAGCCAATAGCTAGGCAGAGAAAGGAGAGGCGGGGCTGGCAGAGAGAGAATAAATAGGAGGAAAAATCTAGGCTTGAAAGGAAGAAAGAGAGGAGGAAGAGAGAACAAGGGAGACGCCTGGGGCCGGAAGCCAGGCAGCTGCCAGTCAGGCAGCCATGAGAAGCAGTGAAAGCAAAATATACAGAAGAAAAAAAAAGTATAAAGACCCAAGGCAAAAGGCAGATAAAGAGAAACAGGTTAATTTAAGTCAAAAGAACTGGTCAGAAACAAGCTAAGCTAAGGCCAAGCATTCAAAACCAGTAAGTCTCCATGTCATGATCTGGGAGCTGGTTGGTACCCAAAAGAAAAAGCCTGGTACAGGATCAAGTCAACAAAGGCAGATCTGAAGGAGGATCTGCTACACCCATGGGAGAAAGGCTAGGCGCCCAGAGGAGTCCCAAGGACAAGAAAGCAGGGCAGGGCCCAAGAAGGGCTTAGTGCTTCCAAGCTCCGCAGGCTGTGTGAAGTTTGGAAAAGAGCAGCAGATAGCCACATGGTCTCCTGTTGGAAGTCATAGATCTTGAACAGCCATCATCGAGTGTAACTGTTGTGGGCAGTTTGGGCCTGTGTGGTCACTACGTAGGCAAGGATACATTATGAAGCTACTATTTAAATGACAACGAAATGTCTAGTAGGCAGTTGGGAAAGGGCTGGTATTGATGAGGGCCCAGGACAGCCACGGATCTGGTCGGGTATCAGTAATTCTGTGTCAGGGTCACTTTGGCGGCTAGCCAGCTCCATCTGGGGAAGACCCTGGGTAGAACCAAATGGAACCCATTTGTTCTGGGTGGCTCTGGAAACAAGGCCAAAAGGAAGGGGCTCTAGACACGCTGATTTTTTTTATAAATACTTTTTAAGGATTTATTTTTATTTATTATGTATACAGTGTTCTGCCTGTGGGTACCCCTACAAGCCAGAAGAGGGCACCAGCTCTGTACAGATGGTTGTGAGCCAGCATGTGGTGGCTGGGAATTGAACTCAGGACCTCTGAAAGAGCAGCCAGTGCTGTTAACCTCTGAGCCATCTCTCCAGCCCTACACACTGATTTTTGTCTTGAATTTCTAACGAAGCCTTCTTCTGAGGAAGGACTTATGGGGGTGGTACATCAGTGACTGCAGGACCATCTGAGGGGCTTTCTGCGTTGCTTCTGTGTAAAGACCACAGCCTAGTGCCCACCACAGAACAATGTGGCACGCATCCCCATTAGGGGACTCAATGGCTATGCCTATTTTTGCCTCAAGGCAGGTACACTATGAAGCCAACTGAAGTACACCTGCGAGGTGTGTGCCCAGTGCCTGCCAGATTGTAACTCCTGTGGCAGGTGAAGGAGGCTGCCAGCTACCAAGTCACATGCCAGTCCCGTGGGTGATGACAGAGAAGAGAGCTCCTTCAAGGAGACCCCTGTGACCCTGACTCTACCTCTTGGCCACTCTGCTCTCCAACCACACCTCATACTCAACTCCACTGTGTCCTAATACTTTCCACTCACGCTTCCAAGCCCACCATATTTCCAGAAGTTTCCTCTACCATGGCCTGGCTTCTGTGCCCTGTCCACAGACTCCTGCCCACCCCACAAGCTACCAGTGCTTCCATAGCCTTCATTTATCCCAATTCTGTTGTATTTGGGGCTCCCCTGGGTATGGTTCTGCCTCAGTGGTCCCCCTACCTTGCAGGCAGCTAAGTGACCACAAACTACAATGGTCTCTTCCCTAACCAGCCATGTGCTCACAAAGATCTTAACTCTGTACTTTAAGAGCCTGCAGCTGAGGGTCCAAAGCCATAGACTGTTTATAGCCCTATAAAAATGTTCCCTGTGTGTAAGATCATTGGAACGGCCAATCTCTGAGCACTGGGGCCAGGCATACTCGGGTTTCTGGCTCCAGATCGCATCCTGGGTACTATGGCATCTCAGGAGGAGCCAGATGGCATCCTTTTGATATGCTTGCCTTTGATATGCTTACCTAAAGCAGGCTGAAGATTTGCAACATTGGGTAGATAGGATAGTCTGGAAAGTAACCCTCTCGCCAGTGGACACAGGAGTGAGGCTTGCATGGCAAGCTTGCGCCACATACCTCAGTAGGAAAGAATCCGACCAAGAACCAGAGATAGGAAAAAGATCTTAAAAGTTCATTAGCAATGGCATGAAATGAATCATCATTGTGAACTCCAGAGCAGGCAGTGCAGGCTGTACCGAACGGCTTACTAACAAAGACTGTATGCCTCGGAGATGATGCAGGAGACCCCACAGCAAGGCCCGCAAGCCCCACAAGCCAGCCCCTCCAAGTTCATGGACGTACCTTGGCTGACCTGGTGATGGCCCCAATCTCAGAGTACAGATCCGAGCTGTCTGGAAAGTTTTCCACTACCATGGTGCACACGTGATGGAGAAGTGACTGCTTGTGCACTGTATCTTTGACTTCTGGAACCTTCTCGAGGTAGCTTAACTCAAATGCTTTGGCCTGTTGGGTGACATTGAATAAAGACATGAGAAAAAACAAGTATAACGTGGACTCTTTCAACAGCGCAGATGGTTAGAATCAATGTCCTATGGTAGCCCAATATTTAGTTTCTCTGAGGCCAGTGAGCCACATACTCCTTCTTCTTCTGCTGCTCAGACTGGCGCAGCCACACGCACCACATCCCTGAGCTACCTCCCAGGGCCTTGACAGGTCTTTGATACTGGCATACCAACAGCTTCTTTCTCTTGTGACCATTACTGAATGTCTACTTTCTGACCAGAGTCAGGCTGACAGCAGCCAACAGTGAGATTGCTTTTAACAAAGAATATTAGGCCTGAAAAAAAGGCTTACGGTGGTTAAGAGGGCATACAGCTTTTGCAGAGGACCAGTTGGATCACAGCACTGACAGTGGATAGCTCACAGCTTGGCTGATAACTCTAGCTCCAACGCATCCAAAGCCTCTAGTTTCCATGCGCATATACACTCATGTACATGCACATACACATTTAAAAACAAAATGAATCTCTAAAAGAATATCAGAATGTGTATAAGCCTAAATATTTGAGTCATAAGGAGAGAAAAAAAAGAATCTGTCTGGATGAAAATCCCCTGATGTTAATTTTTTAGAGTAGCCATACTCTATAAGGACCATGTACTTGTTTTCAAGCTTATAGAAGAGTTCATATCCAAATGAATGGGCTCTGATATTTCGAGGACAGAAAGCCTTGAATTTTCAGCAAAAAGACGTAAAAGCTGCTTGTTCTATTGTGCTTCATGGAATCGAAGGTACAGATCCATTGGTAATGACAGCAGAGACTGTGATAAAGGAGGCCAGAGAGTAAGGGACTAGAAAGTCTTACATTAGTTCCATTTAGAAAGTTCCCAATGGCGAGAAGAGTAGATAGGATGAAGCCCAGAGTCTTGTTGTTCTCCAGCTGGTCTATTCCTTCCTTCAGGTCCAAAAGTGGTTCGGCCACTTCCTTCCAGATAAAAAGAAAGCAGGAGATGAGAAAGAATACACATTCTGGTTTCCTTTCTTCCTTTCCCAGTTTGTGTAGTCTACAGCAACAACCAGCAGAGTTCTCCATAGCACAGGATAAGCGTGTGTGATGGGCATTTGGTCCGCGATATGGACAGTACTGAAAGGTAGTAGAGCAGAGTCTAACCCCAGACACCACAATGAAGACCCTTGGTCCTATGCAACATCCCAGCTCAAGCAGGACCCTCAAGACTTTATCACCACTCCCACGCCAGCCACAGCTGACCTCTAAGGCCATCTTTCTTTCCATGCTCCCTCGGCACCAGCATCACAGGCTCCTCTTAGTCTTTCTTCTTTGTTGGGAGATGGCTGTACACACTGTGTCCTCACAGTCTCTGGACCACCACAGTTTCCTCCTGTCCCCTCTAGGCACTCCATGCTGGCCACCTCTAAATTACTCATATAGGTATGCCTAAATATTTTGACATTGTGACATGGCATTGTCATCTACAAAGTTTACAGTCAAGAACGACATAATTTAGTTAACAAAAAAAAAGAAAACAGCTCCCTGTGTTAAATACACTTAAGAATTTGTGTTGAGGTATATTCATAGCTCTCCCAGGGTATACAAAGCCTGTGGCCTTTGGATTGGGCACATCTGAAAGTCACTGTTCTTGTTACTCTCACCCCCTCAGACATTTGACCTGCTCTGCAGCCTCACTGGCCTCAATCTATGAAGTCCTTCACTTGCCTGGACCCCCACATCAGGAGGTTCAACTTTATAATCTCTCCAGCAGCCTTGCCTCGCCTGTCCCCAACCACAGTGAGTCACACATCACTTCCTCCAGTGTCATCTTACTTGGCTAAAATCACTTAGGTGTGCCGAATGGTTTCACAATTGAGTTACACCAGTCACCTGGCAGTCCTAGGGGTGTCTTCATTCCTGCTTGACTCCATGAGCTCAGATGTAGAACGGGTTAAAATCCCTTATTCAAAATACATGGGACCCAGAAGTATTTCATATTTTGAAATATTTGAATATACCTAATAAGATATCTCATAGATGGGATCCAAGTATAAGGGGGAAACTCACTCCTGTCATAACACACCCCTAACAACACAATCAGAAGGTAATTCCATATAATATTTTAAAATCCTTTAATGTACTTCTGCTTCATCTATGAGCTGTTATACAAGGTCAGGTGTGAAATTTTCACTGTAACATCATTTTGGCCTTAAAAATGTTTTGTATTTTTGTGCATTCAGGTTTCAAATTTTTGTATTAGAAATGCTCACCCTGTAATTTTCCCTCAGACCTCCCAAACTCACTGTTATATAGCTGTTCTCAGGTACAGTATCATGTTAATTCCTCTGGGTTTCAGTTTTCATCTTCTCTGGTTCTAAGCCCCTTATAGTTTCATCATTCAATTTTCCACTGGCCCCTATTCAACTCACAAAAGCATTCCACTGGCCTGTTATGTAATGTCTCCCTTCCGATCAAAATCCTTAAGAGAGACTCAGGAAGTTAGTAAAACTTACAAGTCTCAGGAAATTCCTTAAACACAAGATTCACAAGGCCCCTCCCCAACTTGCATAAGTACTAACAACTCCTAGGGAAAAGGCTACTCTTCCAGCTTTCTGCACATTGATGTTGGGCAGGGCACTCCAAGAAAGCCCATACAGGGATGGGCTTCACGGTGCCATAGCTCCCTCTGAGTTATCTATGTTCTTAAAGTAACCCCTGACCCACCCTCATGTAAGGAACCCTGATAAACTCTGTTTCACTGAGTTACATTTGGGTGGAAATCTTTCTTTGGTCTGTTGTTGTTGCTGTCTGGGGTAGACAGACATTCATTCACAGGTCCCTAGGGAAGTCACACAATATACCCAGTAAGGAAGGATGCCTATGTCTTCCACTTGCTATTTAAGAGGGGTCTCAGCACCTTTCCCATCTAAGCCCAACCCCACTTGTGTGTGTGTATCTCTCTGTGTGTGTCTGAAAGTACACATGTATGTGAGGCAGAGGACAACTCTGTCAGGTGTCTATCCCCGTAAGCTTCCAGGGATGCTCCTGTGTCCACCTCCCATCTGACCATAGGAGCACAGAGGTTACAGGCACACACGACTGTGTCTGGCTTTTTAGTTCTAGCATAATTCAGTTTTCTGTCTGCTGCCTCAAGCTGCTGCTACCATGGATGGAGTTGTCCCATTCACCATCATGACTTTCCCTTCATGAAGGCCTTTGCCCTCTGAAATCGTGAGCCCAAATGAAACTCTCCTCCCATAAGTCCTTTCTGCCAGACATGGTCACAACAATGAGAAAAGTAGCTACTAATGTTCTCTCAAAGGCATGTGTGGAGCTGCCAACTGCTATGGCCAGTGCCAGTTTAGGTTATTACCATTGGGTAGAAGGATGATAGGTTTTCCCCCCATATTCTGCTTTTCTATATTTTCTACAGTGAAAAATACAGTCTGATAACTTTTGATTACTAAACATCCTTCATTTGCTGTCTACAGTCAGGCATCTGAGGCTGTGTCAGGAAGTTACTCACCACCCAACACAGATGCAATTCACACCACCCAGTATGAGCTGTGACACACTCATCATCAGCTCACCCTCCAAATTCTGTGTCAAGAATGAGGCTTCGCTAGCTCTATTCACCAACTGTAAGGACGTCAACACTGGGATGTGGGATGCTCCTATGACCGGCCTACCTTTTCTGTGGTTTCATAATCCATTTTGAATGCCCAGAGGTGGAGTCGGGCAGAAAGCTCGCTGATGGAGGAGAGAGTGAGGAGGAACTGTTCAGCACTGCCCAGGGGCACGTCAGGGTTCGCCAGCTGAGCTTCCTGAATTTTCTGCTTCTCCTCTTCAGTTGGAATCATGGTCAGAATTTTCTAGGAAGATAGGGTAATGTAATAATACTCTGTTAGTAATGGACTCTGCTCCTGCAATGTTTTCAAATTTCTGTTATAATTTTCCAAGTAGATAGTTAAAAACATTCTATTTTTAATAATAGGAAGGTGTTATATTATGATAACCTTCTAGGGCATAAAGGGCATTCCAGGCAAGGACAAGGGGTGATAAATGAGAAAAAGAAGGTAGAATATCGGAGAACAGCTTCTTGCTCCCTAGGAGATACAGCAACATGTGTCAAGAATGTGTGCTTTGTTGCACATGCCATGAACTTATTTAATGGACTATAAAAATGAAACATTCACAAAGAAGTCAGATTGACTTTTCTGTATTAATTATAAATTTTAACCAAAATGCATAGAGAAACAATGCTTTAATATAGAACACAAGTTTAACTGAGGAAAAATTGATATACACGTATATATGTATGTATGTATGTGTGTGTGTATGTATGTATGTGTGTGTGTGTACCTGCTCAATGATGAAAACAGTGTTATTTCTCTATTTCTATTTGCTTCTGGTAAAAGCCAGTTGTGGAATGCTGAGAGGACTAAGGATGTTAGAATCCAATTGATTCTGACGGGTTCAAATGATTAATTCACTACATTTTTAAAAGAGAAAAAATGTTATCTATCCTCATTATTTTTGTTTTAACACTGTATGGAAACCCTTTCCTCCCCTCCACTCATACACACAAGAAACATACAGAGAGAGAGAGAGAGAGAGAGAGAGAGAGAGAGAGAGAGAGAGAGAGAGAGAGAGAAGGAAAAGGTAGAATTGTCCATATTGTCCATATTCACAGAGGCTATGATAGTCTATGTAGAGAATTATGAACATGTACAAAAATGTTTCCAAAACACAGAAGTGAGTTTGCCAATGTTTCATGACACATAGCCAATACACAAAACCTACTTATTGTTACATAGTAATGAGTACATTTTAAAGTGCTACTTATGATGAAATATACAATGACAAACCTAACAAATAATTTATAGGCTCTATATGTTGGAGATTTAAAAATGTTAATGAAAACAGCCATAGAGAATCTAAGTCATTGCAGTGGAATACCATGTTTATGGCTGAGATTTATAACCAGGATACTGTCTCTCCTGATCTATAGATTTAATTCCATTCCAACTGCTGTGGGATGTTCTGTATGGCAAATGTGTTGCTGATTAGTCAATAAATAAAACACTGATTGGCCATTGGCTAGGCAGGAAGTGTAGGCGGGACAAGGAGGAGAATAAAGCTGGGAAGTGGAAGGCTGAGAGAGACACTGCCAGCCACCACGATGACAAACAGCATGTGAAGATGCCGGTAAGCCACGAGCCATGTGGCAAGGTATAGATTTATAGAAATGGATTAATTTAAGCTGTAAGAACAGTTAGCAAGAAGCCTGCCACGGCCATACAGTTTGTAACCAATATAAGTCTCTGTGTTTACGTGGTCGTGTTTGAGCGGCTGTGGGACTGGCAGGTGAGAGAGATTTGTCCTGACTGTGGGCCAGGCAGGAAAACTCTAGACCAATGTGATTTTGTATAGAAACAGACAAGCTGGTTCTAGAAGCTATGTAGTAAGGAAGATGAAATGGAGCAACCATGGCGCATTGCAAAAGGTGACCTTGGAAGTATCACTCTGCCCAACTTGAAGAACTATAGAATCATAGTAATGAGGACAAATGTATATATCAACAGGGCCAGAGCAGTACAGAAACGGGGCCCACAAATATGGTTCATTAATTTGGCAAAAGTGAAAAACTATTCAACAGAGAGAGGATAGAATTTCTCACAAGTAGATTTCATCTTTTTTTTTAAAAAAATGAACCTTAAGTTAATTCTCCTTTATACACAAAGAAACTCAAAATGGATCACTGGTTTCAAAGGAAAATGTAATACCATAAAATTTTTGGAAAGAAATAGGAGAAAATCTTTGTGGCCCATAGCAGACAAAAAAATTCCCCAATAAGAAGCTGATAAAGTAAACTATATTCTAGTTAATTTTTGTTTCACTGTAAAAAGAATGAAAACATAAGCTGTAATTTATCAACATAGAGGTTGCCCTATGACCTTCCCATTGCATTCCTGGATATGTACTCTAGAAAAATGAAAACTGATAGCCACAGGAAACTACTAAAATATTTGCAATTGCTTTATTCATAATGGCCCAAGTCCGTGTCAAGATAAATATTCGTAGTGGATAAATAGGAAAACCAATTGTAGTACATCCCCAGAATGGAACCATCCCCTGTGGCAACATCAAGATGCTCTAGCACCTAGGAGACTTCAATGAGTCTCAAGGTTGTCTGTCATATTGAGTGAAAAAAAAACCAAAACAATCTCTATAGGCTCTACACTGTGACATTCCACATGACAGTCTCAAAAACTGAAAAGCACAGTGATGTAAATGTGTCTTTGCCTGCCAGGGTCTGGGGCTTCAGCGCAGCATGGGAGAAGGGACTGCTCCAATCCAGACTGCTGGGATTCAGATACATAAACTTTATACTATAGTGACTCCAAAGTTTAAAGAAATCACAGCTAGAAAATTAACAGCATCCATTAAATATGCACATGTTAGCACAATGGCACATCTAGGTGTACCTGGGCAGAAGCAGCCCTGAACCTGATGAGTGGTAATGGACAGGCAGAGCTGGCCTCAGCTCATGAGAAGTTCCATATTCCAAACTGCAGTCAGAGGAAGCTGCAGAAGGGGACACATGGCAAACACGCAGATCCACCTCCTTCCAAGTTGTTCACTGTGGCTCCAGGATGAGGCCATGTGGGCAGCATTTGAATGTCACGAGAGATTTAGCCAAAATTCTCTAGGTAATACTGTCCACAAATCTAGTATTTAAAAAACACTTATCCAAACAATTCAAACAGACAACACTTTTTGAAAACATCTATGGTTGGAACTCAACTGGTTTTTAAAGTACTTAGCAAAAAAAAAAATGTACTTTAATTTTCATAATGCTTAAATTGTTCTGGGCAGGACAGGAATTTCAGAACAAAGCTTGCCAACACCTTTTATAGCCTTCAGGAGACATGTTCCTACAAGTGTTGTCCCTTTGTCCCTTTGAGGAAGGAACTGAACGTGTTTCCTTTGCCCTTCTCTTCTCTAATTTGAACAATTTCTTCACCATAGAGGATTCTGAGCTTACCATCTGCTAGTTTACTTTCTCCTTCCTTACATCACTGTCAATAAAGATGGCTACAGGACAGTGGGACAGCAGGTCCCAGCCACCTCTTGTGAGCTGGTGGTCCTTTCCTCCACAAGGATGATACAGATGAACACAAGGCAGGGTTTAAGTCAGCCTCTTGCCACATTCATAGTTTCTTTGATGATATTTTTTAATTACCACTTAGTTTTGTAGGGAAAGGAACATCCAACAAGACCAAAATGTAATAACCTGAGTTGTTTTTTTCTTTTTTGTTTGTTTGTTTGTTTGTTTGTTTGTTTTAACTTCCTTTTAGACCAGTGGTTCTCAACCTTCCTAATACTGCAATCCTTTAATACAGTTCTTTACGTTGTGGTGACCCCCCTGCAACCATACAATTTTTTTTTGTTGTTACCTCATAAATGTAATTTTGCTACTGTTATGAATCATAATGTAAATATTTTTGAATACAGAGGTTTGTTGATGGGGTCAGGTTTCATAGGTTGAGGACCACTGTTCCAGTCTGTGACCCTGTATTACTACAATAACTACACTTGCTTTTGTAACAGAAGGTACTATCCAAAGAAAAACAATGCAGATATATCCTTTATTGTGGACCTAAATATTAGGCTGAGTTTGGTCATTTCATTTACCTGCAGATGAGACACAGCAGTAATGATTCCACTTGTTTTTGACAGAACTCTAGCCGTGGTGATGAAGCTATACTACAAGGATTTGGGTACAGCATCAGGGTCTTGGGAAAGTTTGGCTAGGGTTAGTTTGTTAACAGTTTGCATATTCAGAGAAAATGGGTTCTATATATGTACTTACTCTCATACAGCAATTTAAAAACTCTGATGGCATCTCCTTTCATTCTCGTGAGTGCTCTGAGGCCACACACTGGGGCAAGAGATAGTTGTGCCCAGAATAGATGAAATGATTTACTAAAGGATGGGTTGAAGTTCTCCCAGGCAGAGCTGGAGAACTGCTAGGGGCTGCCCTCATGTCCTAGCAGGAGCTCATCTTCCATGGACACCCATCTACAAATCAAACACTATGAACGGAGCAGCTGTGTCCTATCTTCAGAGCATGCTGGTTCCCTGAGGCAGTTACGTAGCTCATGAGCAGACTCACCTATGTCCAGTACCTATGAAGTAGCTAAGGATGGGCCTCAGGTAATATAAACTCCTTAGTGTGATACTTTGGCACAATGGTTAAAGGAAATTTCTGCTTCTAGGATGATGCTGGGTCTGACAGTCAATGTGAGATGAGTTCATGTTATTAAAGACAACTGTATTGTACTGCCTTCTAAGTGAACTACGCTCTAAAAATCAGAAAAGCAAAGGAGGAAAAAAAAGTAACGAAGTAATGTCTTCCTACTTCCATTTGTGATCATTCCGTGTGTTTTACTGGAAAAAAGTATTATAGATGCTCTCTAGAGATGACCCTAAAATAACTTCCTACAGTTTAATACTCTTCTGAAAGCCACTTCCTTAATGGAGTTAATTACTCAGGTTTGTATGACAAATCCAGATTCATACTGTGAGTTGCTAGGCAATGGCACAGGATGTCATTTAATACATCCTAATTGTGTTTTGGTACACAGAGCTTTCCAATGGCCCTATGAAGCTGCGATGCCTTGACATAATGTGTGTATCCAGGAAGCAGACAGTCTGGCTGAAGGCCTGTGGGCATTAACTGCAAATCTTATTAGCAAAGGTCTGTTAAGTTGACAACTGCTTTTTCTTCTCAGTCTCATTTTAACTCTTGAACAACTAGAGTCCAGAAGAAGCTTTGGGTCCTTCCTAGCACATGAGTGTAGATCGTCTATACCCCTCAGGTGACTGGGATCAATGGTCATGCAGAGGGGATGACAGAGCATCCTGCATTTCACATTCTACAAGAGGTCTTATTCTATGATTTCACAGCTATGCCTGGGAACAGCTGAGAGATATGCACAGTTCTAGGATATGGAGGTAGCTTCAATAAGGGGTTCTTGGATGGAATTCTTTCACTCCCTAGGGGAGGGTGACAGTGTGTGGAGACACTTCTGGCTGTGGTCAGCGTGGAGGACAGTAGGTACCACTAGCATCTAGTGTATTAGTTACTTGTCCTATTGTTGCCATAGTAACAACATTTTCAAAACAGGTGGCTTAAAACAATGTAAATTTATACTCTCATAATGTCCAAAACCAAGGTTGTGGGAAGCCTATAATTTCTCTTCCTTCTTTGAAGGCTGGAGAGAAAAGCATTTCCTTGCCTCTTGACTTCTGATGCTCACCACACTCCTTGGCATCCCTTGGTTTGTAAGCATGTCACTCTAAATTCTGCCTCTGTCCTCACATGGACTTTCATGATGTGAATCTTCCTGTGTGTTCTCTGATTCAAGTGGCACTTCCACCTGTCTGTGTCTAAATAGCCCTCCTCTTTTCAGAATACCAGTAAGAAGACTGGTGCTCATCCTAATGGATCTGCCTTTGCAAGTGAGGTCACCTCCTGGATGGGCATGAACTTGGCAGGGATACTGTATGTTCAACCAAGTACTTGTTTCAGTAGATAGTTTTTCTTGTGATTGTCTCTTCTTCCCAAAGTGCAAAGGTATGCCTGTCCTGCTGGGTTACAATCCTGGCATGTTCTGTATGCTCACTGCCCTCTCCTCTGCCCAGGACTTTAGATGAGTCTAGCACTGTGGCTCAAGCCTTCCTCTCTGTGGACTTTCCTGCCGAAGGCTTGAGTTAGGCTTCACCAGTTTCATCTATGTTGAAGTTTTCCAAAAAAGGCTGTGTATGAAGAAACCTCAGATGTGAAGGCTTCTTACCAATAGAAGGATGGGTCACCCAGTATCACAAAGCAGTGACACCAGACTCTTTATCCCCACCCTGATGTCCCCAGGTTATATCACCCGTTGGTACAAATCTGTAGGCTTTCCAGTAGCTCTCCCCCATCTTCCATCATTACCATAAGAGGTTTCACCTGCTATAATCTGGTACCATCCCAGGATGAGGCAGGAGAGCATAACCATGTGGAGTGACAGGAATTGTGGCATAGCAAGTGAAATATGTCCCATGGGGCTATCTACCTTTCTCCACCTTTAACAGATCAGCAAGCATGAAAGCCTCAGTTGGCGTGCTCTGTTCTCCAGATGGTTCAACAAAAACATATCTCTGTTTTGTTTTTGGTTTCCACACATGCTCTCATGTAACCCAAGCTGGCCTCAAACTCCCTACACAGCTGAGGATGACCTTGTACTTCTGATCCTTCTGCCTCCACTTACCAAGCACTAGACTACAGGCCTGTGCCCTCACACCCACTGTACGCAGTGCTAGGGATCAAACTGGGATTAGTGCATGGTAAGTGAGCCACATCCCTAGCCCCAAATCACATCCTTTCATAAGATCAAAACAATGTCCTTTATGTGGACTTCAGCACCTAATGGAAGATTACAATTCGTAAGTGTTCCCAGACATGTGTGACATGACATGAAAGAAGACCTAAGCATCCTCATATGGAGAACAGAATGATCTTTTTCCATTCTGAGGTAAGCAATGTTTGGTTAGAGTTGAGGTCCATAAGTGAGCCAAGATCTCTGAACTTCACAGGAAAAGTGACTCGTCTCCCCATCCCAGAAGAGACATCTAAGAATCATTAACATCTTTCAGAGTCCAGTTGAGTAAAGAAGATTACAAATCACCCAAAGTAATATTCAATGCACTAATGTGATGCACATTTCACAACACTAACAATTCTTCCTAGAACTGTCTTACCTCAATCCCTTCTTTGTTTAAGGCATACTCATCAAAGTTCAAAATGGCGATCTTGATCGTCCTTGGAGGGGGCAGCACCGTCAGGCCGATGTTGATAGCGTTGCTTCTCTTGGAATCCAGAACAATGATCTCCTGCCTTTTGCCATCTGCAGCTGTTTTCTTGGTGATAAAACAAGGAAAATTAAAAGATTAATGTATCATCCTGGGTCCTTCCTGGATTTCATTACTAAAAGCAGACTCACCCTTTATTTAAAAGGGAAAGCAAATGGCCCAGATTCAGCTCGGGGAAGAACTGGCTGCCACTCAGCACAGGAAAGAGAGTGGAGAAGAGGGAGTCAGATCAAGGCTCCGGCACTTAGTTGACTCCAAGCGTGGGTCAGTAATGGAACTTCACAAGCCAGACACATTACAAAATAAAATTGATTTGCTTTCAATAGGGAAAATTTTTGTGCAAGAACAAAACCTGTTTTTTTCCACCCTTTTAGAGTGCCTTTCTTGTGTGCTGAGAGGTGTTTGGATGGGTATTGTTGGCTCAATGTGTGCAGTATGCCCATAGCAGTGACTACAGAGGCTGAGGAGGCAGGCTAGTGAGGACATTCAGTGTGGCTGGTGTGTCAGCCCTTGGGTCCCTGGATCTTCCCAGGGCCTTCCTCACTATCCAAATGCCCTGTACCCTTCAGAGCAGAGTGTCTCTATCTTTCCCGTACATGTAACCATCATACAGCTGCCCACTGGAGGGTGGAGTGGGGCCTCCCAACTAAGAGAAAAGAAAGGGATCTGCTGATAGAGAGAGGTATGGGTGGCAGGCAGGAACAGACACCAAAGAGGACATCAGAGAACCAGAGGTGTCCTGGCATCCTCACAGAACCCTGTGATGTGACTTTTCCTGATGACATGGGTGCCTCTCAGAGGCCCTGGGCCTACCTCATCATGATGGCTAGCATATGGCTGGGACTCAGTTTGTATGCCTTTCAAATTCAATGTTTGTATCCCTTCCCCATCCACTTATTGGCCCCCTGATTTCCAAAAAGATGGAATCTAGTATCAGAGATCGGAGCCTTGGAAGATAATTAGGTTTAGGTGAAGTGGTAAGAGTGGAATCTTCACAATGGGATAGGTGTTCTTACAGAAACACAGGGAGAAAGCCCTTGGCAGAATTAACCTGGCTAGCATCTTGATCCTCAACTCCACAGCCTCAAGAACTGTAAGAAATAAATTTCTGTTGTTTAATCCAGTGAGTATATAGTATTTTTTTAAAAATTAGATTTATCTTATATATATGAACGGTATGTCTACATGTATGTATGTGTACTGTGTGCAAGACTGGTGCCTGTGGAGTTAAGAAGAGAGTGTCAGATCCCCTGGAACTGGAGTTACAGATGGTCATGTGTCACCATGTAGGTGCTGGGAATTGAACTCGAGTTGTCTAGAAGAACAACAAATGGAATCATCTCTCCAGCCTGGTATATGGTGTTTTATCATAGCTGTCCTGACATATAAACACAGGTTATAACCCAAGCTGTCTCCACATTTCCCTTCGGCTGTCAGGAAGTGATATGTAGGCAGCAAGGGGGGGGGGCAGGGGAGGAGACTGGCTCAGCAAGCCTCTACAACTGCTCAGGTTTCCTGTGGTGCAAAGGCGTCTGGGAAGATGGCTGATTTGAATCATGGGACACTCTTAGGGTGGCAAAGATGATGAAGGTAGAATATGGTTCTCTTGAAGAAAATGCACCCAGTGATGGTGGGTTCTCACTAAGCAAGGATTCCAACTGCAGGACCCTTGTCTGCAGGGTGTGGTCGGAGAGCCTCCCCCAGGCTGGCCCGTGAGGTCTTTCAAGATGTGTGTGTGTGTGTGTGTGTGTGCGTGTGCGTGTGCGTGTGTGTGTGTGTGTGTGTGTGTGTGTGTGTGTATTTCAGGATATAGATATAGCCTCAGAGACTCTTAAAGGTATAGTTGGAGAGTCAGGCACCTGTTACTTGTTGAAAAAGCCAGGTCTGCAAGAACTGACTCTCCAACTGTACCTTTAAGAGTCTCTGGGATCCTGCCGGGCCCAAGGGAGAAAGCAAGGAAATAAGAAGCCATTCTCTTGCGGCTGAGAACTGTCAGGGATGAGGCTAGATGAGGCTATATCTTTAAAGACCTCATGGGCCAGCCTTGGGGAGGATCTCTGACCACACCCTGCAGACAAGTGCCCTCTGAACTGCTCCCTTGGAGCTGCAGGAGTCCAGGAGCAGAGGAGCCACCCAGCCGGGTTACCAGTAGAGCTGTGGGCTAAAAGGAGAAGCAGACTATGTCTCTGAAGATCCTCCCAGGCCCTCCCAACTCAGTTGCTACAATTTTACTTTAGGTCTTAAATGTGTGTTTGGGAATAAGTACGCGTAGGTTTCTTCATGAAGGAAACAACTGAGAACAACCTAGCCCTGGGAAGGGGCAGTGGGAACATATTTCATCTTACCAGTTCTGTTCTATTAGAGAACCCTGACTCATACACCCTGTCTCCAAAAAAATAATTCTATCAAAATTCTAGTAAGATTTGTTTTGAGATTTTAAGAAAATCCATTCTAAAGTTAATATAAGACCATATTCATTTTAAAGTCAATAATATTCTTTAATTTTTTTTACATTTATTTATTTATCTGTATGAATGTTTTGCCTGCATATATGCATTCTACCATGTGTTTGCTTGGTATCCTTGGAAATCAGAAGAGGGCACTGGATTCCCTGGCACTGGAGTTACGGATGGTTGTGAGCCACCATGTGGATGCTGGGGACTGAGGCCAGGTCCTCTGAAAGGACAACAAGTGTTCTTAACTGCTGAGCCATCTCTCCAGCCACCAATATTCTTTTGTTAAGCACTAATAATCTCCTTCTGCATGGTTATGGAGCTTTTTGTACTACTGAGCCAGTCAGCCGGCGTACTGAGACAGCAGGATGAAAGAACTGTTGCGGCACCACATGGGCCTAGCCCCGGTCATTTTCACTAAGACTGACATCCCTGAACCAAAACCTAACCTGAAAGAGTGATAGCTAGCATGTAACCAAGCAAGAAACAAAGTCAAACATGACAAGTGACTATGGACCCACTAATGTCTTCCTTCTGAGAAAACGGACAAGGAGAAAGACAGGGCCACACCTAAGCAGACCTTCTCTTTCTGACTGCGATATGGCACGTGTCTACCTCGGCTGACAGTTGTCTCGGGACATCAGTGGACTGTGAGATCCAAACCTGAGCACAGGCCGGAGAGGCTCGACACCAATCTAGTTCAACAGTCTGTTCTGTTGGTTCCGGTTTGGTTTCACGGATAAGATTTTGCGAGGTAGTCTCCTAACTCACTCTGTAGCCCAAGCTGGTCTCCAAGCCATGATCCTTTCCTCTCAGTCAGTCTCCTGACATCTGGGATAACAGACATTTGAGCACTAATGTCCTCTTTTCCAACTGGCTGCTTGTCTCTATAGATTTATTTATCGTCCCTCTTTGCTAGCTCATTTCCTGGGCAGCTTCTAGGTGCCTAGTTCTCGAGAACTTTTCATGTAGGAGTGCAAAAAGAGCATCCCCCATTGGAGGACCAGCAGGCCTCCAGCGCTGCTCTGGGCCACAGCGAGGATGGTTTTAGTCTTGGTTCACCACTGAAGATGAAAGACAGCCAACCTCTGACCTCTTTTCTTCAGCAAGTTTCAAGAATGGTGAGGACAGGAGGAATGCTGGAGTCACCAGGCTCCAGGCATAGAGTGCTTAACTACAGGGTGGCTGGCCATGAACACAGGCCTATCTCTAGGGTGCATCTGCTTCTGCATAGCAGGCCTGGTGAGGGCAATGGCTGCAGGGCTGTGCTAGAACACGCTATTTTCCCAAGTATGTCCTCAGAAAAGTTCAAGGGAGAAGGGGATTGCTTACTTAAAGGGGGAGCGACCTTGAAAAGTCTCTGGGCTGTTTTGGTTCCAGGAAGCCTATTAAGCAGAGAGTTCCTCCCTTGAGAGTCTCCACAGCTCCACTTACCACCCCCACCCCAAGCCGGTCTCTGGAGACAGGCCTCAGGCCTAGATGCCCCCTTGGGGCTTTTGGTTCATTTGTTTTGCATTTGACCAAGAACACTGCAGGGAAAGGGTGAGGGATCAGACAGCCAAGATGGAAGAGAGGGAATCAGAGGTCCCCCTGTATGTCTAGGGGAACAGAGACCTGGTAGAGAGAAGGGGCAGGAAGGAACCCAGGAGGGCAGTTCAGCATGTTTCTCTCAAGTTGTCCAGAGGGGTGAGGGTCCAGTGTACAGGAAGACAGCTGAATATCTTTACGATGAGGTTTCAACAGACAGTATGCAAGCTCAAAAGTTATAGGACTTCTGGAATGCAAAAGGAGGCAGCCATCTGAGCAGAGACTGGTTCCTGCTGAGGCTCAGGGCATGGGCTATGGCTCACTGCAGCCCCAGGGAGGCTGGCTCCCTGGGTTAGGGGTCCACCCTTTAGAATCAGAGGGCTGCATGTCTGACAGCTTCCCAGAGAGTAAAAAGTGACATAAGATGATGCAAATATTGTCTGGAGTAGCTAAGCCTCGCTTAGGCTTAGCTGAAAAGGGTGCTTAGTGCAGAGACAGATGGCTAATGCTTCCTAGGCTACAGATGTAGAAGCTAGCTTTGAGAGCACGTCAAACCATTATCCCTAAAAAAAAAAAAGTTTTCGAGGCTGCAGATAAGGACTCAAAGTTGACTCTGAACAATTATGGAGGGTATGAGGCCACATGTAAGTGTGATTGCACCCCGACCTCAGTCAATGTCCCAGGGAGAGGAAAAGGCCCTAACGTCCTCTCTGAGTCATTCAGTTTTGGAAAACAGAGAGAATGAAGATGTAGGTAGCAGTGAGAAGAGTCAGAAAGACATATTTGAACAGTACAAAGTTTTCATTAAGCTTAAAGTTTGCTAGAATGCTGACACAGCAGATCACCTCTTTGATTTTCTTTTTCTCCCCTTGCTGGGGATAGAACCCAGGACCCTGCACACATGAGGCAAGCACTGTACTACTGAGCTATGTCTTGAGCTTGCCCTCTTGAATTTTTAAAGAGTCATTTTTTTTAGGAACAGAGGATCCAAATGTTTACAAAGTGAGCATTGAACACACTGAGCTTGTCAGCCCAGAAGGTGCTGTGATTGGAAATAGAAACCCGTCC